CAGGGATTACATTTAGATTTTATATGCACGTGTAAATGCTTTAAAACTTGCTTTCTTTATGAATCTTGTTTAATCTTAAAGTGCATTACTATATTTTTCAATACCAATTACTTGTTAAAGTTTGTACAATCAGTGGGATCAGTTGCAATGCATATATGTGAATGATAAAAGTAAATTGCACATTTGTCGAAGGAAATGTAAGGTGCTTCATGAAATGTTTTGTAAAAGATATGTTCATTAAATTTCAACATTTTCCTAATGTTCTTGTGCTTCTTTTTACCAAAACAAAGGAAAGACATATTGTTTTGGTTATTTATAGCAAAGTATTGTATCATTTTAATGGTCCGGCCCACTTGACATCTACCGAGGCCGTATGTGGCCCACCATGTGAAATGAGTTTGACACCCCTGGTCTAAAACCTCTTTAGTTAATAAAAGACCAACTTAACCCTACACAAGTAAGGACTACGCGACAGAACCAAGCCAAAAGTCCCTCTTGGGAAGAAACCTTGAGCAAACCCAAAACTCACTCAGTTGGTTTAGACTGCATGGGTCACCAACCTTTTTGAGAATGAGAGCTACTTCTTGTGTACTGATCAGTGCGAAGGTATATCAATTTGATGCACTTCTGAATTCACAAATTTGCTCAAATTACCTTTAATAATATTAGTTTATTACTGTTAATAATATTAGTGTTATTACGAATTAATGGTATTCATTTTCAGACAGATTCGATGATTGTGTTGTGGTCCACTCGCCTGACTTGTGTGCAGGCAGTGTGAGATGTGTTCTCACTCAGTGACGGTGTGGATGTGGGTGTGAATGGTTGTTCCGGGTGCAGTCTGCCTTCCGCTCAAAGAGGCCTGGGATAGGCTCCAGCACCCCCCGCTCCTCCATGACCCTATTCACAATAAGCAGTAGTAAATGCTGATCCTGTTAATGATGTCTTAAGTAATTAGGAAACAGATAAATATATGCAACACTTCCTTTTGCCCACCATCACAATTGGCAAGAGTCTTCAAAAGTGAATTTCCTGTACATTTTACGTAATTGTTTTTATTTACTGTTTGTAAATGTTGTTTATGCGTGAATATAAATTTGGGTGTGTGATTGGGATTACAGGCAGCCCGGTGGTCGACTGGTTAGCGCGTCGACCTCACAGTGCAGAGGTACCGGGTTAAATTCCAGCTTTGGCCTCCCTGTGTGGAGTTTGCATGTTCTCCTGGGCCTACGTGGATTTTCTCCAAGTACTCCGGTTTCCACCCACATTCCAAAAACATGCATGGCAGGCTGATTGAACACTCTAAATTGTCCCTAAGTGTGAGTGTGGTTCGTCTCTGTGTGCCCTGCGATTGGCTGGCAACCGGTTCAGGGTGTCGGACGCCTATTGCCCGAAGACGGCTGGGATAGGCTCCAGCAACCCCCGCGACCCAGATCGGAAAATAGATGGATGGATTGGGATTATAGACAAATAACAGTTTGATCATGTGTGATTTATTGTTTAGACATTTCAGTTAATAATTTTACAATGGATAAGCTTGGTCCTCCCAGTTCCCAAATTTCTTGTGTCCCTGGTCCCGAGTCCTACTAGCTATACAGCAGAGGAATTGCTCTAAGACTGCAAGGGAAGCTCAGCTTCCCCTAAAATGTAAAAAAAATAAGTGATCAAATATATGTGTGTACATACAATTGTGTGTACATGTCATTGACTAAATATGCGCGACAATGCATTCAACTTTTGTTCCGAATCAGCTTCTTATTACTGGTTATGACGCGACTCTCTTCTCATTCATTCCCACAGCTTCACTGTGCTTGACAAGACATTCGGCTGACGGTGTCGTCAAGATGGCGACGTGAGCGGTTGTGCTTTTGGGAGCTGCCTACCTGACTCGATATAAAGTTAATGGAACACAGATAACTCTTCTATTTTTTTCATGTCAGAAAATCTATATATATTTTTTTTCCTCTTGACCTTGCTGCACTCACGGTAACTTGTCCTTAGCGCAGTCCTAGTTCTCTTCCTTGTACGTTGCTTCGACTCATGCTAAGCTAGCAGCATTATCGGCAGTATTGACAAAATGGAGCTGAAGTCCGCACCTGAGAATGTGCTCGTGGATGGCGCGCACGCCTACTGCCTGCAAAACCAACCTGTCCTCGCGGTTGTGGAAACTGATTTTCCCGCATTGCCCGTCTCGCCGTCCAAGCCACCGGCGTCGAAGAAAAGTAAGCAATCTCGCACGACCGAAGGAGAGAGCGCGACCATGTTGCAACAAATATCAACGCTGTTCAACACCAGATTTGATACGATGGAGACAAATATCAGTAAAATGACAAAGGACATGACAACGAAAATAGAAAACCTCACGAAAACATTGAATATTGCCTGCGCCGAATTAAGAGATGTAAAAGCAAGTCTAAAACAGGTCGACGACCGCGTTGGACTTATGGAAAAGAAAGTGAGCATGATGGAGGGGCGTCTCACTGAACTTGAAAACTACTCACGACGCTGGAATCTACGACTCTATGGTGTAGCGCTGAAAAGAAACCAAAATGTCCGTGAGGAAGTAATCTCGATCTGCCAAGCGGTCCTGCCCGGAGAGAGAGAAGACAAATTTCTTCACGCCATTGACACTGTACATCGACTGGGACAGCTGAAAAATGATGCATCCAAGCCTCGAGGGATCATTCTCCAATTCACATCGCGAATCTTCCGAGACGCTGTCTGGAAGGCTGCAAAAAAATCCAGTTTTCTTCAAAGCAACAACATGCGCTTCGCTGAGGATTTGTCACCATCTACAAGGGAGAGAAGAAAGCTACTCTGGCCGCTGGTGGCGAAGGCGCGCGAGGAAGGAAAAACGGCGTACTACATCGGTGATCGAGCCTTTGCCAACGGGACCGAACTGCTTCCTATGGCTTAATACCTCCTCTCCAACCTCGGCTGATGGGCAACTGACGTTGGTAATTCATACATCCTAAAATTTAAGGAAACAGAATCCTTCTCCAGGTTCACCTGAGTACCTCTCATGTACTCCACTGAGGAATTGAGCTAAATATTACTTTAAAAAAAAAAAAAAAAGACATTCCTTCAACTATGGTCAGTATACCTTTTGTTCCCTATTAATGTTGTGTTCCACTAATTTGTTTAAAACAGATGTTCAAACGGTACAGCCCCAAATAGTAGGGTTAGTGTTTTAGCACACGATTACCCAGGTGTAGTTCTAAGTGTGTGTTTGTCGTTATTAATACGTCTTTATCCATTATTACTCTCAATGCCAGGGGGTTAAGAAACATTGTGAAGCGTAAAGCAATTTTTTTGTTTGCTAAGCAGCACAGAAATGATTTTTGTTTTCTTCAGGAATCCCACTCGATCACTAACGATTTGCGGTTATGGAAAGCTCAATGGGGCAACGATTTATGGTTGGCACATGGATCTGAACACTCAGCAGGGGTCGCTACGCTGAAACACCAGTTCTCTGGGAGTATTTTACATTCTGTATGCGATAAAGCAGGTCATTTCCTTTTACAAGTAATCAACACGGGAAACATCAATATAATAATGGTTAACATATATGGGTACAACTCAAATTACGAAAATAATAACCTTTTTGAAGAATTAGAAATGGTGTGGAGGGGTGTCGACAATGGGCAACTGCTCAAAAAAATCCATTTTTAACTCTTTACTTTGGTGTTCAAGTACATTTCAGAGTCGCTACTTTCTTTTATTTAAAAGTACGTAAAGTAGATGCATCACCTACGTTTCAAAGCAGTGCGCGGCACTGACCAGCCACCTTTCGTTGATAATGGAGGCTCCACAAGTGTGCTGCCCATGCAGCCTGAGACTGACCTGCCACGGCAGCTCTCCTTGTCGGGCATCTTCACCGCCCACGATACGATTCCCCGTGGCGCTACGTGTGCCACAGGCTGTGGGGGAGAGAAACGGATCAGATCAAGGGTGGCATCAACACAAACGACAAGGTGGAAAGCAAAGGGGTCGTTTACCACAACGAGCTTCATCAGATCCATCTGCACAGTCTGATACAAAGTCACACTCGGGGTTTAATTTGGTGATGCATTCGCCGTTGTCACAGGTAAAGGCGCTCTCGGGGCAACTCTCTAAGAGAGTGAGAAGACAGAGTTTGATGGATCCGGGTATACACACTCACCGTTTAATCAGTGAAGGAATCAATCAGGGTTGGTTTTATGTCTTACAGGAAATGATAAAATCCATCAGCATGAAACCCATGCCTTGAGATTTATTTCTATCTATCTATCAATGATTATTGCTTTATTGTTGTGTATATGTTAGTTGCTCCATGTACAGCGCTTTGTGTGCAGCAATGGCTGTTTGAAAGTGCTCTATAAATACAGTTGAGAGAGAGAGAGAGAGAGGGAGGGGGAGAGAGAGAGAGAGAGAGAGAGAGAGAGAGAGAGAGAGAGAGAGAGAGAGAGAGAGAGAGAGAGAGAGAGAGAGAGAGAGAGAGAGAGAGAGAGAGAGAGAGAGAGAGAGAGAGAGAGAGAGAGAGAGAGATTCCTTTGCTGACATATTGGTCGAACAAGTCAGCTATGTGTATGTATTTATTCACAGAAATATGAATATCACACGGGTGACATGTATTTCAAGTATGATACACTCACCCTCACCCAGCGTATCATCTCCAATATTGTAAAATGACTTCCCACTGGCACCTGGGTAGAAAGTACAAGGATTCAATCCACGTGAAATGTGTCCGAGATAATGCTTAGCTGAGGTCTGTTTCATAGAGCTAACAGATGACTATTGTGTCCAACCCAGTAAGACGATAGCATTGATGTGTCCAAACTGGGGAACCTCCAGCGGATTGCCGTGCATCACCGAGGTGAGCCCCGCCCTCAGCAGGTCCTGAATGAAGTTTTCCGAATACTGTTGAAATTTGGAAACCGCGAAGACCAGCCTGAATGTTGCCATCACATCACCATTCATGTTGCTGAAGGAGAAAAAAAGGGAAAAAGGCACCAATTCCATCTCTCCAAAAAAAAATGATAAAAGGTGAATTTGCTTATCTGATGAACATACCCAAAAGCAATAATATTACAGTCGACGTAGTGATGCGATATGGATGAGGAAGCGAAAACATTTTTGATCTGTGAAAGAAAATACGAGCAATTTCGCATGAATGATCAGATGACTTGAGATGAGATGAACCGTATTGTGGCGAAAGCCTGCCCGATACCTTTGATTTTAGTACAGATGTCAGTACTAAGGAGAAGCCCGAGTTTGGATCCTGTAGAGACGGATCATGCTTGAGACCCTTCAGCTCAACTGTCTCCATGAAGTCATGCTGCTCCTGTATCAGGTACGCTGCATTCACATGCACACAGAGAGGACAAGAAATGTGCGAAAAATATTGCAAAATGATATCTATGTACAGTATTTGATGTCGGGATTGAAGAAAACCATCACCGATAAGCAGTCCTACAAAGACTCCAGCTCCGAGGAAGAAGAGGAGGCCGAATATGAGAGTGCCCCTGTAGCAGGTGGGGCTGGAGGGAGCGGGTGAGGGTCCCGGAGTGGACCACGTGCCTCCTCCATCATTCGTCATCTCCTTGTTGGATTTACAACACTGGGCTATTCACATGGCGGGTGAAATCCAAAGTTGGAAATGTTCAACGCCTGAAGTTTCTGAAATTGTTATACTGTCACTTATTGTACATTCACTGGCCACAACATTAGGTACCTGTACACTTGTTGTGGGTGCAGTTTGAAGAATTGAACTGCATTGTATTTAGAACTGTTTTTAATACTTAGCTTGCTCAAAAAAGTTCTTGGGTGCCTTAAAGCAGTGGTTCTCAAACTGGGGTATTAACAAAAGTGGCCCGAAAGCTATAGCTTCGGAGTTCGCAAAATTACACTGGGCAGTATGTATGGATGTATTCTTTGATACACTTGCCTTTATTTGTGTCTTTATTTTATTTTTTTAACTTTTTTCTAGCACATCAAGTTTTTGAGATATTTTCATTTTTTTATTTTGAAATTTGACCTACAAAAGCTTGCGCAACACAGGTTTTATCATGCATTGAAATGTATGGCTATCACTTCAGAAAAAAAATTCCACCTATTTCTGCCCCTAACCCTTAATTCATAAATATATTATTATTATTTCACATTATTTTTATTGAAAGGTGATGTGCTAGAAAAAAATAATTGATACCGAATCAGCGCGGGAATTTCATCTAGAAAAGTTTACGGTACTTATATCTCAGATTTTTTAAAAAATGTAAAAAAAAATTGTTGACCTGTGTTATTGAAAAAAATATCTGATATAATTTCATAAACAGGCCTACATGTTCTGATGCTTCTTGAAACGTTGCCTTATAAAATTCTAAAAATATAAAACATAAAATAAACTTGCTGTAATGTCCTGCATTTCAGTGTGAACAGGAAGACAAGAAATACACGGCTGCACACAGTTACACTCTATGGATGTCCTCCGATGTTTTGCATGAATAAGCAACAAAAGTGTCTATATTCATGAGTATAATGTATAAAATATAACATTCATATCAGGTTAAAAAAGAATGTAAATCTCCTGTCAATTTACAATTTACACTGTACATTTTGAGGTCAGAACACCACCACATCAGAAAAATGGCGTGGGTTGGATAAAAAAAAAATAAAAAAAAAAAAAAAAAAAAAAAGCTTCACTGTGCTTTAAACTGTGTGGAGTGGACGCAGAGCGTCGCGCGGACGCTGGGCGTCGAGAGAGTTCCGTGTCGGTTGTCCCAATGCATTAAAACGAGACGAGTCATTGGATAAATGCTGGTTTTGTCCCGCCCATCGGGACGCTCAGCGTATCGGCTGGGCCGGGCACTGTGTGGAGTGGACGCAGAGCGTCGCGCGGACGCTGGGCGTCGAGAGAGTTCCGTGTCGGTTGTCCCAATGCATTAAAACGAGACGAGTCATTGGATAAATGCTGGTTTTGTCCCGCCCATCGGGACGCTCAGCGTATCGGCTGGCCTGGACGCTCAGCTTTTCTACATGATGACTGGATGATTTGTCTGAGGCTCAATCTATTTTTGATTGACAGCGAAATGAGCCAATCACCGATCTTTTGGTGTCGGCATCCGTGGGAGCATTTTTCAATTCTCATTCTGTTCTGAGTTGAACGGGAGACTTCTTCTAATCATTTTAGCGACACTCTCTTTGTTGAAAACGACTAGCGACAGATTAATATTTTATTTCTGGTGTGTTTTATTGTAGTTTCTTGTTTTCGCAGACTGACTTATATCACCACAGTTAAGTCCCTGGAAAAGACGCCTTGTTGGTATGACAGGGTCACAGATCATTTTCTTGAAAAGGAACGGAGAGTAGAATTCACGTATAAATAAACGGACACATTTTATGATGTAGCCCGAAATTGAGCTTCCCCTCCTTGACAGACCAGCATCCGCCACTGCTATACAGTATTATGTGGAGACGCCATTGGATCCTCAAAGGTAGACTTTTGCGCAGTATTGTATGGCAAGGTATTCTGAAATGATTTCTGTACTTGAGTTAAAGAGTTCTTTAGAAAAGTAATTGTGCTTATTGTGCGCCTAGAACTACCGCATACACATTGAGCATCACTTCTGAGATGGCTCACTTGCCACACCCTTGTCGACCAATATTGACAATGAAGTCTTCGTGCGCATGACCACAAAGCGCGCGGATGGGGTTGTATATATCCTACGGACTAAGTATAATGGCTGGCAGCTGCGTTGTAATATGTAGTGTATTGTTAACTGAGTCATAATCTATTTAAGCACGCTAGATGTGCGGAGGCCCAGTTGTCCGCTGGGTGTTCGGAGTTGATCTGCTCCGTCGTCGGTGCGGCAAGCTGACTGGATGCAAGCAAGACAAAAAAAAAGAAGGAAATTAAGCACTTATACTTTCAGTGTACGTAGCACATTTGAAAAAAAAAAGAGTCAACATTGAGGCTCACGAATAATCCAGAAACGTTACTCTACATTTAAATATTTGACTGAAATCGGTCATTTATGTTCACGGTGACTCACACAAAAGCTAGAGATCGTAATCATTACTCAACGCTGTGTCCGAGAGAACACCTTTTACGTTGAAATATTGGTGGCGGAAGTCACTAACTCTGCTTCAGGGCAGCGGCTAGGGCGGCTAGAGAGCTAACCGGGAGTCCGCCGCTGCCACCTCAACATGGAGTAGGAAGAGCTCAGCGTCCACTGCCGATAAGCGGACCCTACAGATAGGAATACGCTACATCCATAACTCATTATACCCGCAAATGAGACATTCGTGGAGACGTTAGTAGCTGTTAAGGGAATCACGGGGTTTATATGAAAGATGGCGAACGACTCCCCAGCTAAAAGTCTTGTAGACATCGACTTGGCTTCACTGCGGGTGAGTGCTTCCCACACGAGACCGTGTGTTTTTTGTAACGTTTTCCTCGCGTGTATTTAACACAATTCGACAAAGCACACGCCATTCCGTGTGGCTAACGTGGGTGGCCTTTAATCGAAACGCAGATGCCTCTCCTTGTCTGGAGCGAAGCGCTGAAAACGAGCGCTGAGTCGCCGCGAGGTGTTGCCGCTGTCTGCTTTTCCTTTGTTCCACATGTATTTGGCACATGAGGCTTAAGCAGAGGACAACAGCTGGCTCACCGCGCACAATGCCCCACAGAATAGTGGATATCTACTTTTCTTAACATCCACTGTCTTGTCTTTTCTCTTCTAGGACCCAGCCGGGATATTTGAATTGGTGGAGGTGGTTGGAAATGGCACCTACGGACAAGTATACAAGGTTGGTTGGAGGCGCAGTGCGTGCTCTGTCCTGCAGGAGACAGATGATCACCACAAGCTTGTTTTTTTTTTTTTTTCCACTACTGATCTCTGAGAGCAAAACAACTCCCGTTTACAAATGGAAATCTTGCAGATATTGCTTTCAGGCTATGTTGCTGATCTGTGCTGCAGAAACACGACATCACTTTTGTCTGGGCTCAGTTGACTGACTCTGATTTGGAGCTGTTGTTGATTGTTCATGTTACCAAATGTGAGCTTTAAGTAAAACGGTGAATCAGCCTGATTCATCACCTGTCCTACGTCACCCACCTTACTGATAAGTAGATGAGAAGGCATGAATGTGGAAATGACTAATCTTATTGCATGCAGTCTCTTGCAAGACAGAACCAATTAAAATTTTCTGCTCAGAACTAAGTCTAGTTCAGCTAATGGGAATCTTTCTGACTGGCAGTTCAACTTCTGGTGTTGTGGTTCTCTTCTCGAAATGAACCTTGCTGGCTCTTAGGAGAAGGTTTGATCCAGGGATGGTTGTCGCATCAACACTGATAGCATGCACAATTTGGCTGAAGTTAGACTGCAGGTCTGAGTGCCTAATTCCAAATTAATTTGGATGTGACTGCCGATTTACAATCAGGTTCATACATATTGGAACCGGAGATCGGTGCATTAATAAATTTTGCCTGCCCGTCATTCCCCAGCGGCCACGCCACCTGTCTGTCATTGTCAGTCCCTCATTTTTTCAAGCAGAACCAACACTGTCATTGTCACTCCGTCATTGTGACTTAACCACACTTCCATCATCGCATAATTACACTTCATTACCTCTATTTTAGGACTGTCAGTCGTCAGCAATACCGTAGTCTGTCAGAAATGGACTGATGTCTGTCGGCACGGACCCAATTAGTGACAATACCAGTGACCATTGTTAGTAAAAACGCTGTTTAAACTAACACTGTTAGGTAACTGTTTTTTTCCGCTTTTCATGAATGGACTATTCTAACATTTTATTTTTCCCACAGTTGAAGTGCAGTTATTGTACATTGAATGCGATGCGTTACACCCCATTTATTAGTTTACGACTACTGCCTAATTTTAATGCACTCTGGATCCACAAAAGGGCTATTCTCATGTCTCCTAATTGCAACATTCCTAGCTCCTCGCACCTCAAAACATTGAGCACAACAAGGAAGTTTGCATGCCGCCATATTAAGCAGTGTCTCGGGTCGTCTTAAAAGCAGATTGAGGTGCGAGGACCGAGCATCGGGGAGCTTCCACGACTAGCATAAATTGAGGGACATCTGCTTTATCCTATGCGGAAGTCGAAAGTCCGAAGTCCTTTAGCCTCTCGAATTGATGTTTGAAAACGGGCGAGTGCAAGCAACACTGTCAATGATGCAGTACTTCAAATTAAATAGCAATAATCCATGTTTTTGTCTTTTCTTGATCATTTTAGTTGGACTTGGCATATTTTGCTGAGTGTCTGTTCTGTTTGGGGAGTACTTGATCCCAAAAAGACTTGATTACACTGGCTCTTACACTGAACCAAACCTGTTTTTAAGGTTTGCACTCTAGTAGGCTTCGATTGCTCAAATGCATTGGCCAACATTTTGATTGCTTGTTCATTCATTCATTCATTTTCCGAACCGCTTGATCCTCACTAGGGTCGCGGGGGGTGCTGGAGCCTATCCCAGCCGTCTTCGGGCAGTAGGCGGGGGACACCCTGAATCGGTTGCCAGCCAATCGCAGGGCACACAGAGACGAACAACCATCCACGCTCACATTCACACCTAGGGACAATTTAGAGTGTTCAATCAGCCTGCCATGCATGTTTTTGGAATGCGGGAGGAAACCGGAGTACCCGGAGAAAACCCACGCAGGCCCGGGGAGAACATGCAAACTCCACACAGGGAGGCTGGAGCTGGAATTGAACCCGGTACCTCTGCACTGTTAAGTCGACGTGAGTGCAAGTCGACGTGCTAACCACTGGACTACCGGGCCGCTCTGATTGCTTGTTAGTTTTTCATATTCAACGTAATACATAAGTGACATATTGACACGTCGACGGGACGGTGTGCGACTGGTTAGCACGTCCACCTCACAGTGGAGAGGTGCAGGGTTCGATTCCAGCTCCAGCCTTCCTGTGTGGAGTTTGCATGTTTTCCCCATGCCTGAGTGGGTTTTCTCCAAGTAGTCCGGTTTCCTCCCACATTGCAAAAACATGCACCATAGGTTGATGGAGCACTCTAAATTGTCCCTGGGTGTGATTGTGAGTGTGATGGGTTGCTCTTTGTCTATGTGTGCCCTGTGATTGGCCAGCAACCAGTTCAGGGTGTACCCCGCTGACTGCCCGAAGACAGCTGGGATATGCTCCAGCACGCCCCGCGACCCTTGTGAGGATAAGCGGATTACAAAATGGATGGATGGATATTTACATTCTAATGTGCACTGTGAGCATTGGGGTGCGAAGGGCGGGGAAGACGCGCTTGGGACAGATCAATCATGCTTGTCTTTAAATCTGCAAAGTTGTGAAGCATCACAGTGTTGACATTTGACTTTAATTTACTCCCACTTGAAACAAATAAAGTGGACATTTGCGGTGATAGTATAACTTTTGAGACACAGACAGTGTATTTGTGATCTACGTAAATGACATGATGTCATCATTAGCAGACCTCTCAACAAATGCTGACATTGAGTGATCGTGTCATTACCCCAAAACATTTGTACCCTCTCCCGCCTCGCTGCTTTGTCAATCTCCTCCTCCCATGTTAAGGAATACATTGATGGGTAAATTAATATGTAAGAGCTGAAGTTCAGTTTTTAAAAGCACGACAGTTGTTTTACTATTTAGATTTTTCACTGAAGAAAATATTGAAACCCTTTCCGTCTATGTCCTCCAGACTATTTGTCTCAGGTTTTGGCAGTTTAATTTTCTACAGTGATAAATTTACTCGGCTGTAGACGACGGAGTTAAAACACTATGTTGTATATTTATCTTCATTTGTAATGTGACCAGAGTGCAGTGCCGAAAGGTATAGGTTGTTGACATTTTATCGCATCTTGACAGTTCAATTTGTTTATCATTAAAAAAATGTATGTTGTTGAAATGTTTACTTTTGTTTAATAAAGATACTATTACTGTATATATTTTGACGAACCTTCCCCGAATACTGACAGAATGCCCACCTCTGATTGGAACACTGACACAATTGTCATCTTTTTGGCTCTACACTACCGCAGTGGGCCGAGATGAACAGCACACTTTTGAAAAGACCAAAAGTAACAGTACAATTGACTGCTCAGCTGTTCCATGGTGAAGTGTTCTTCCCTCATTATGCCATACAAGCAGATTAACTCATTCACCACCAATGACATGTATTGTTTTTTTGTCTTTTAAGAATCCACGTATTTATATTTTGAAAAGTCCCCCCCCCCCCACTGTGTGCGGGTTTAAAGG